CATTTTTTTACTTGCTCATTAGCCCACCTACCTGTTAAGACAGCAGAGCCTGTACAGTTTTGAATGTTTAGGATACAGCTTTGCTAGTTGAACTAGAATTCATCGAAATGTTTGGGCAAACTCTGCCCTCCCCTGCCTTGTGTCAATACCCTCTGCAGGCTGCAGATAACAGAGCCTAAAAATAGACCCATCCACCAGACTAATGTTTTAACCAAGTCACTCCGTTTGCTTGTGAACTTCCCTAGATTTCCCTGGAAATGATTTGCTGTGTATCCACACCAAGGTGGGTTCATTGTCCCTTGCAGAGCTAAATGTCACAGCTCTAGATTTTGTCTGATACTCCAGCTAGCAGGTCTACATCTAGGATGCAGTTTTATCTGCATACGTGCTGCAACTGTCTACCAGTCTACAGCTACCTGCAGCTATCCGTAGCCTGCTACAATAAACTTGGTGGCTTGAATGTGTCATCTGACAAGGCTGTTTGAAGCTTTGAAACACATTTGTGTAAAAGCCCATATACAAAGGGCTCCATATTTAAAACAGAGTGCCTTTATTCACTGTTTTCTGTCACTATAGAACAGTAGACAGTGGTAGGAATTTCAATTAAAAGGATAAAATCTCCCTCCCCCAAGCAACAGGATGTTTTCAAATTTACAGTCTAATAGAAACCACCTCAATCCTTTCTCAGCTAACAGTTTTAAAATTTGCAGTCTAGCAAACATCTGGATGCTGCAAAGATTAAAGGGGAGAAAGAAGTCCTACCTAACAAAAACAGCCCCAAGAGACAGGAGTTGTTGGGGTTTTTTTTTTAAGTCTGAGTTATTTTGTTCCTCCATCTGTAATGAATAATTTTTCAAAATAAAGCACAGAATGGCCCTACTGAACTTGCTTGTAGTCCTTATTACAATGTCCAGTCCAGATATTTTTTAAAGTACTCATTTTTTATTTTAGTAATCTTTAATTATCTGATTATTTAATTTTTTGCATATCATCATATATAAAGCAAATGTAGAGTGATGTCTGAAGAATAAGTATATATCTAAAACATTATTATGGACTCACCAACAACCGTAAGGTTGACTTGTGCTTGTCTGCTGCCAAGTTTGTTCTCTACAACTAGGGTGTAACATCCACAGTGTTCCTGCTTTGTTGATGATATTGTTAGCTTGCTGGTGTTTTCAGCATTCTCAATTTTGATATATTCATTTTCTTCAATCTGCCAAATTAAAAAAAAATAAATTTATGGGACAAATGTCTTCATATCTGGAAGAGCTCGTATTACAATACAAGGTTATTATACTGGATGTTATCTGCAGATAAGTCTATTACAGCAGGGAATATGTGCAGCTGGTAATGAACACAAAACATCAAAAAATGCAATGGAATATTATGATGGCTCCATTCCTGCAAAGGCAAAAGGGAATACTGGTGTTATTGGGACTCCACTAAGGAACAGGAGTTTCACTTCCTAGCTCCTCTTTGGCAGGCTGGAAGTGCAAACTGTGTAATTGGCAAAAGAACAAAGCTTGTTCTAGCATATCTACAGAGACCACAGCAGAACAAAGGTTTAGCTCTAAATACCCTAATTCATTTGCGATTCACCCTTTAGAGGCCCAATGTGCAAAAATTCTCTAGCTGAGACTTTAATCCTCTTGTCTTAACCAGCCTGATGCTGTATTTCCACAGAAACCAGGGTAACAGTTTCTTGGGTTTGAACGAGTGAAGATGATGTTGACTGAAATGGAGCTGTAATGCTATAGCTGTGCAGAGAGACATACAAAGAGCAAATTTAGCTCTCCTAAAACATTTCTGTTTTGTGGAAAGGCAAAAATCAAAATCTCAGCTGAATACCATAGGCATATTATGAACTAGTTTTTAATTAAAGCTATCTTAGCATAAATGGTTAAGGAGACTTAGATTGTAATCAGTATTAACTTGAGACATGACAGATTATTGAACAGCCTCATAATGCTACACTGCAATTACAGAAGCTGTACACTGTGTTCTTATGAAACAGACAACATAATGTCAATGCCCTTCTTCCTCCCACCACTTCCTTCTTAGATAAGTGACCCTTCCAACTCATTCTCAGAATTTCATTAAAATTGAAGGCTGTTTGCCTTATCTTGTCGCATATATTCAGAGAATAAAAAATTATAAGGCTAAGAGCAGGACTTTCCCTGCTTTCTTCTCAACCTAGATAGAACACATGCACTGCTATATGCTCAAAAGTAACCCAAGAAAGATGCTCATACAGTAACTCGAATAGAAAGCTAGTAAATGGGATTATGTAGGATTGCAGTTTAAATTATACTGAAAATTGTTTCCCCCGCCTCATATTTTGTTCTTCTGTGATTCTACACTGGCTTAATGTTTTGTTTTATTAGAATTAGTCAAAGGTAATAGTAAAAAAAAGCCCAAAACAGTCTAGCAGAGCTAGATCCACATTATGCAGAGAAAGCCCTGGAAGGGTACTCAGTGGCTTGCAATGGTTGTGGGGAACAGGAATTTGGATCGCTGTGTTCCCAAAAGAAAATCACTGATCATTGTTAGGAAGCTCTGACAGTTGGCAGTGTTAAACAATGGACTTTGTTGCTCAACTAACACAGAGATTTTTTGAAGGCTTTCCCCTTTTTAGCTGAGCACAGTTCCATCATCCCTCTACTAGACTGCCGTCATGTACATCAGTATGGGTCACAACTCTGAAACATTCCCTTCTTCAAGCAAAATATATTTATCCAGAATACACCTGTGAGAGGCCCTGGTGGCTCTTTTGAACCTAAGAGAATGTGAGGAAGGAACATGGAGAGGATGAGTCCCTCCTGCATGCTGCAGAATACAGTGGCAGGACTGAAATCACAACTCACCACTTAATGGATCTGATCAAATAACAACTACAAATGACCCCCAGGAAAGTTGTAGAAACACTTGGGTAATTTTCATTTTTAGGACTGGGAGTGGAACAAAGTTGAAATCAACCACATTTATGGAAGAGAAAAATCAAAGAATAAAACAGTATGTGGTGCAAAAAAAAGCAAAATAATGACGCAGCACAGTACATAGTAACTGATTCCCCATGTAATTTAATAAATGAAAGACTACTGCTCTCACTTGTCCTCGTACAGTGTTTATGAACCCTCCTGAAGTTTTCTCTTTTTATCTGATTCACCTGCAATAATGAACCATTTAAAAATTGTCATTAAAGCAGAAAGTATAAAGATAGTAAAAATAACATTTTACAAATGAAAAAAAGGTGCAGAATCACAGACTATGGATCTGATATGGGTATTATGAGGTACTGGTTTCTGTTATCACATAGATTCCGTATATTAAAATGGCCTTGAAATCTATGTAAATAGGATTGTTTTATGCAGCAATGCCTGCAGAATTCTGCATAAACCAGAAACTCACTTTTGAGGGGTTAATTTTTACGCACATATTACTACAGAGCTCAGCAAAATAGGCTCTGAATGTTTCTGGAGCTTCTGAGACCAATTTTGTTAGAAATGAGTTGACCACTTTTAAACTCCAGTCTCGAAACTTCAGAATTTAAAGAAAATGTAGGAGTTAAAAAAAAAAATACCATTCTTTCTCCTAGAGTAAGGGGTTATTTGGGGTTAGCAAAGACGGACTCCAGAATACCCTTTGCACTAGCAAACTGTTTTGAATTCTTTCAATGAAATGCTGATGCATCTGGATTTAGAGTCTAAACTTGGAGGAGGAGATGTTTTTATTTATGTTCTACAGAGTGCATAATGAGTTCAGAATGAAATAAACAGAATAGCAGCTACAGTACATAATTATATTTGCTCTATCCTAACATGGCACTTCATCTTTTAGTTTGTACTTGCATATTGGGCTATTTGATTTCATTATTTACTAAAGCAACTCTCTTTAGAAACTGCCCTTCCAGACACATATAACACAGTTCAAGGAAATTAGTTCGAGTAGAAGGAACTCTAAACTTAGGGAGTGAGGGTACCCACAGCTACACAATTGTTGTGCTTTGCATGGTGACATTTGTGTTGTAAAACATTTCATTCAAACTTCTTATATGGCATTTTTCCCCTCTGACATAACTTTAGAACAGACAACAATGAAGAAAAGGTTATTTTTCAAGGAATGTTTCATGTGACAGGTACCTTTCAGAAATCCACTATCTTTCACATAATCTATCCTTTAATTACATGGTCTAAGGCTTTTCTCAAAGGAAGAGTCATTTGTCATAAGGGGGGACAAGCAGCCGTAGGTTTAAACTGTAGCAAGAAAGATTTGTGTTTGGCATTAGGAAAACAGTTCTAACACTACGGATATTTAAGCACTGCAATAGGTTGCTAATGGAGGTTGTGAAACTTTTATCACTGGAATGTTTTCAGCAGAGGTGCAGAAAACATCTGGCAGAAATGACGTTGACCTTGCAAGTTCCCAGGGAAGGGAAATGGGCAAGATGGGCTGTTGTTCCTTTCCAGGTCTACTTTCTCAATGATTCTTAAAACAGGCAGAAAACAATTTACCTGTTTACGGAATTTCATCCAGGTGCAAGTTATTGGTGCTGTTCCTACCACCTTGGCAAGCAATTCCACTGATTCACCTGCACGGACTTTTCTGTCTTCTGGGAACTGAGTAATCTGAGGAGGAGCAGCTGATGGGGAAAACAAATAAAACAAAACAAAAAAACCCAAATCTCTCTTTAAGTGACTGTATTTTTTATTTTTCATAAAATTCAAAACTTATACATAGATCAGCGATTTCAGAGTAGCCCTTGAAATCCAGATTAGCAGTTACCTGTTGCTTGCAATAAAACAATTCTGTGGACATTGTTAGTTTTACTGTAGTAAAGCAAGTAACAAGCTACCTGACATAAGTTTACTTGTGCCAGACCAAAGTACAGAAATCCAAAAGCCGAAAGTGTTATGCCCTACTCTACCACTAATTCCAAATATACAGCTTGTGAAATTTTGTGTTGGGTTTTTCAGGAAAACCTTTTTCTTTTGTATTTTGTATTTTTGAAGAATGGCTCCAGCCAATTTGTGTGTGCTGAGGCAGTCTGCAAACCTGCTCCTTAATGTCATCAATGGTATTCAGAGAATTTAAGACTCAACACCTGCCTATGAAGACTGTAGCTTCAGTAGCCAGGTAAACATTATGTGGGACATCCGTTAGAGAGACAAAGATGGAAACTAATGTATTTTTCCATCACACTCAGTTTTCCCGTGAGTGGTGACAGATCCTTTTGTTTGTGTATTACAGTGCTTCTTTTAAATCTTGCAATACCATACTCCTCCATTTCTGTATCAGGTATTTCTCCTTTTCTTCCCTCTCACTGCCTAAGAATCAATAGATGGCAGAACATCTCTTTTGCTAATAGTGCTACTTCCTGACTCTTGGTTGTGATGCCAAATGTGCCAGACTCCTGGTAGCTGCTAGGGAGAGATGCCAGAAATATTGCAGCCCACACAACTCCAGAGTGAAACCTGTTCTGTTGCTTAATAAGAGCAGCATGCTAAAAAATATTGGTGCAGATTTGAGGACATATTGACAGAAATGGTTGAATGTATCCCTTAATATTAGAATGACCTCATTGCAAAATGTAACATTTCTCTCCAAAGCACAGGGCTACTAGGTGAGAAAAAAAGTGCTTTCTTTTTCTGTTCAATGCAACTAAAGAAGCTTTAAAAGTCTGACAAAGTTTTAAGATACTAAAAGCAGGTTCCCGTAGAGGAACATTCTAGTTAACTTTAAATACAGACAGCTTTGCCTAGGAGAGTGCAAACACATGAACACGTTACCATAATGCCAGTTACAATGAAAAGTAGAATCTATCAACTTCTCCATGGTAACTACTCATGCAGAGGTGGCATTCTGTGTTATGCAGAAAAATCTCTTTCACAGAAGGCTAAGGTGTCTTGTGGATATAGAAAAGGGTGTGAGTCATAACACTACTGCTGACATTTGGTAGGATCTTGCTGTAGTTTATTTGATGGTAACTTTTTTGCATGCTCGTTATTTAATTCTTAGCACAGTGTAACCTTATCGACAAGTTTGGAAAAGGTGTTTTGCGTATCTACCATGTAATCACTTATGCAAACAAATTTAGTAGCCAAACAGCTGTACTTAGAAATTTGGAGTCTGTTCTTTAAAACTGTATTGGTTTATTACTTTTTCCCATAGAATGACACATGCAACAAATTACCTGCTTTTGGAGGAGTCTTTGGAGCTGGTTTCTTCTTCACTGTTGCTTCACCTAGTTAATAAATAAATAAATAAATAAAAGAAGTTAATTCAAAGGTGAGTTTTGGAAGGTACCAGATGAACTGCAAAGCTTACATCCATAGCAATGTTTTGTTGGTACATGAAAATATAATATGTTCTTTCAGCATATTAAACTCAAGGATTAAAAATACTTTCTGAAAACACTTTTATTATCCTTAATGATCCTCAGAATATTCACAGTTGAAGCTGGAGTTTTTAAAAGAACCAAAGAATTCTGCTACCCATCTCCCATAATCTGGCATACTCTGTTTCTTACAGCAGTTTAACTGGGGTGAAAACACTAGGCCGAGATCCATCTCATACTGAATTTCTGCTCAGATTTCCAGCATAAACAATGCTGAATGAAATCAGCTAAATCTAGGCTAGTTAATGCCACACACTGTTTCTTACACCACTTGTAAACTAGCAAAGAAACAGTGATACACAGGCAGTAAATACTCTCCTCTGCCTCACCTACTTTTTTCTTCACAAAAGAAAGGGTCATGGCATCAAAAATATGGCCCAGAATTTGCAATCTGAGCATATAAATTTTGGGAAGACAATGTTCTACAAATTGTGAATGGTAAGTGGACAGAGAGTGGAGAAGACAGGTAGGTAGAAAAGGGCTACTAACTATTTTTCACAAAACAGGACTAGAGGCCACCCAATTAAATTGCCAGCCAGTAAGCATAAAAGAAACAAAAGAAGTGTTTTTTAAAATAGCATAAATAATCTACATTCACAGAGAACTAATGTTTTGCAAGACAGAAACATAAACAGGTTCAAAAGGAGAAATTCTTAGGAGTTAAATGTAGTGGTAGCCATTAAAAGTAGCAGTCTGGATGCCTTCAAACCACTGAATTCCAGAAGTGGAGGGGCTCATTTCTTTTAGAGCACTCTTTTTGTCTGCTATCCTGACCATCGTTGTCAGAGGACGGCCTCTGCTGTGAAAGGACATTTGTTATTTTCTTATGCCCAAGTAGGCAGCTTGATTGAAGTAGTCTGGCTTTTAAGATGTTATTGCTTCCAACTGAAGCAGTATCTGCCAAGTGCTTTTGAATATCTAGGGACATAGGTGCTTAGTGGTAACCATAACAGTCTCAAAAGGTTGGAATTTTTTGGTTGTTTACTTAAATTATTTCAAAGTAGCAAGACGCTGAGCAACAAAAAAACCTTCCAAAATCTACCAAACCAATAAAATGAGTCTTATATTTTAACCCCCTTTGCTATAGCAAACTACAAGCTGTGCGTAATGCCCAGGGAACATATCAGCTGATGTCCCATGAATAAAGAGCCATGAATTGTGAAGCCATTATGGGAGTCTAATGTTATAGCTCAAGCAACAAACAGATGCGAAGATTGATTTTAAGTTTTAGAGTAATTGGAGAAAGTAAGCAATGTGCTTATGGGTTGTTAAAAGACCAAATGCTTTAAGAAATATGTAATGGTTTAGGTGTCAACACCAGTGTTTCTTCAGTTCATTCCAGAGAATGTTTCACTATGCAGTGAATATGGAAAAAAGGTTTGCCACTTTCTCTTTTATACACTTCCATTTCATAGTAATTGTTTCTCAAAGTGTGGTTGACTTTTATATGCTCAATCTTTACTGATTTTGTAGGCACCAGAATCATGATAATGAAGAGGTAGAATAGTCTTGCAGTACTTACAGCTAAGTCATAGTATCTTATAGAATCATAGAATAGTTAGAGTTGGAAAGGACCTTAAGATCATCAAGTTCCAACCCCCTTCCATGGGCAGGGACACCTCACACTAAACCATGTCACCCAAAGCTCTGTACAACCTGACCTTCAAACACTGCCAGGGATGGAGTATTCACAGCTTCCTTGGGCAGCCCATTCCAGTGCCTCACCACCCTCACAGTGAAGGACTTGTCGTTATATCTAACCTGAAATTCTGCTGTTTAAGTTTTAACCCATTACCCCTTGTCCTATCACTACAGTCCCTAATGAAGAGTCCCTCCCCAGCATCCCTATAGGCCCCCTTCAGATACTGGAAGGCTGCTATGAGGTCTCCACGCAGCCTTCTCTTCTCCAGGCTGAACAGCCCCAACTTTCTCAGCCTATCTTCATACGGGAGGTGCTCCAGTCCCCTGCTCATCCTTGTGGCCCTCCTCTGGACTTGTTCCAACAGTTCCATGTCCTTTTTATGTTGAGGAGACCAGAACTGCACACAATACTCCAAGTGAGGTCTCACGAGAGCAGAGTAGAGGGGCAGGATCACCTCAAAAAAGAACAGTTGGATATCTCCCAAGCAAGCCTTTCTTCAATGACTGTCAGTGTAACAGAATTAATTGTTTAGATCAGTACTTGCAAGGTATTTATCCTAGTATAAGTGGACCACCAGGACCTGAACTATGTCCTGACACATTTTCCATGTGAGCTTAACCCTGTTTAAATGAAGGCCTTCAATGAGCACTACTGCTTATTAAAGGGACCCATTACTTTTCAGGCCACCAACAGACTGACTTGTACCTAGATATGTGTAGTTAGTGACTACAAATATACTTCCAGATCCTCTTTCCTGCACAACGTGTATGAGCAAAAGCAGTAAGTAGTGTTTCCAAAGCAACTTTCCTCTTTGTCATTGTATGGTTATGCCTTGAGCAGAAACTCTTATTTCAAGCTGTAGTCACAGTTACGTGGATGAAACTACTTATCAGATGCCAGCTGGAAGCTCTGTAGAGTTTGGCCTATCATCTGCTGTTAAATATCCCTGTTAATGGAAATCATCCATTAGTTACTCAGTTATATGATTTAAAACCACATAAACATTTTTGCGTGTGTGCCTGTTGTATATGACATCAGATTCTGTGCTCTTCTCTAAACTGAGAGCAAACTAGCTGCAGGGTATCTCCTCAGAGCTTTTAATACAAGCTAAAGCAATTACATAAATTTGATTACTTCCACACTGCAGTAAGCCTGATATGAACAAAGAGCATCAACAATGGGGAAAACCCACCATTTGTCAAGTGCCATCTTGGATTGCAGATACTATTGCTATTTTTCAGAAGTATTTGTGTTTCTCTGTGACTGTAAATATCCCAAGATTATTTTTTTTTTTTTAGTTGCTGGCTGACTGTAATTTTCTGCCTTTGCACAACACATGCACATAATGGATATCTGTATACTCAGATACCTCTCTCACTTTTCTCTGCCTACAATCAGCCACTCTCAGTTCATTGCAGAAGGGACCCCAAGAAAATAGTTTGTTCATTCACAACTAGAATTGGTGATGTTCAATTCATCACTGTTAAAGAACAAGGTTTCTGTACAGACTAGGGTGTATAGTGAACTGCCAGGTTATTACATTTACCTTCCTAGCCCTAAGGGCTATGCTTAAGATAGTTAAGGCTTTCACTTCAATAAAGATCGCCACAGCAGAAAGCAAAGAACCATCACCTCATTCAGCAAGGGTACTACTTTTTACATGTAAATACAAAATCTTTGTTAATTTTTAGTTTTTGCCCAACAGGACATTACATTCACTGAACTGAGTATATCCAGACTGCCCCTGGACTTCATCAAACCATGCAGGTTTCAAAGGGTTGCTGGAAGGTCTGGCTGAATATCCTGTTTTGCAGACACAAATAGCCCTGAACAGAAATGAAAGGCAGGGGCAGCATGAAGGGGATGAGGACAAGGTCTACAAAGCTAACTTCTTTAGCTAAGTGTACACTCCACTGCTCTTACCTCTTTCTTAAGAATACCAGCTCATCTCATGCATCTTTTTGAAATACAACTTTTGTTTCAAAGCCTGCTGGAGACAGCTAGTGAAAAAACAGAGTCTAATAAGATTACCCAAAGTTGACAAGGTCAAATGTTTGTTTTCATTGAAATATTTGAGCCTCTTGGAAATGTTGGTTCAAGTCTGCCTCTGCTGCTTTTTTTTTTTTTTTTTTTTTTTAAAAAAAGAAGACTGTTTGTCTCTCTCTTGATATTTACAGTGAAACAGGGTGAAGCTGAAAACCAGCCTGGAAGAAAAAGGACATAATATTCTCTCCTTACATGAATCTGCCTTCTAGAAACAACCTAATGTAAACATTACAAGGCTGGTATTTACATAACTTTATAGGCAGGTTTGCCTCTTAGAGAGCTTATGTCTGGATGGGGCATAAAAGCTAAAAAAGGGAAAGATCCCATACAGGCTGATAGCTGGGGGACGTTTGGTTGTGCTGTTCTTCACCCTGATGGTGAATTTGTGAGAGCAGATATGTTCAGAAACCTCGGACTTTCTTTTTTGCTTCCCTTTTTTGGAATTTTGCTAAAAATAGGCATAGCCCTCCCCTGAAATTGCTGTCTGCACAACTTGCTTTCATAAAGCATAAAGTAAAACTCTTACAGGCTGAAAAAAACCCATCATGTACTCAAGATAGCATTGCCAAACAGTCCATAATTCCTACTGTCATCTTTGCTAAAAATTATGTATGTGTGTTCTTTAGTGATAGACTTTAGCACCTGTTTATTTACTTTAATAAGTACAAGTAAATAGTCTGGTTGGGGAGCAACCTCATTTTAGCTGAGGATAGGACAAGGGCTAATGACATACTCTAATACTATGGTCACATAGGAAACCATTTTCCCGTCTTTTCAAGATTTCATCTTCTGAGAGAAACTAAATTGTTGGAGTTTTGTGGGGGATTTTTGGTTGTTTTTTTTCTTTTTTTTTTTTTTCCCCCAGAGTTTCCTTTAAGAAAAACTGAAAAAAAAAAAAGAAAAGAGATCGTGTCTGTATTGTGTCAGATATGGTAACTAGGCTATTTATACAGGAGATGGAAACCCCAGGTTCAAGCTTCTGCTCCTTCTTCCACATCCAACTTGAATGCTTCAGAAGTGTGGGATGTGGCATTATAGGGTCTCTTTCTCCCACATCACAGTATAACCTCCTTCAGACCCTTCTGGGGATAAATATCAGGGCCTGAATCAAAGGTGACTGTTGTCTGTAAAGCTTCACTACTCACTGCTATGCTAGGAAGCATGGAATGGCTGACACCTTGAAGTACAGAAGAAACAAAACACTTGGCCTTGTGGACAAGGCAACAAATTATTCAGTTCTATCTTCCTTCTGATGCAAACGTTCTTGATGATACAAAAACTTACTACAAGTATTACTCAGCACAGACAAGTTGAAGCAGGAGAAAGATAAT